TTCTTTCCAGCCCCCATCCTTGTTCTCTCAAGGTCTATGCAACTGAATGCATTGGGACAGCCTGACTTAATAACACCTGTACAATGCTCTGCCTTCTCACCACTCCTCAGAATGATTGTTCCCACACTCATTTTTCTACTGTGAAATGCGCAGGCAGGATTGAGGAGGTGCAAACCTTTTGCTAGAACTCTTTTGGGCTGACCACGCTCCATTGTGCCTCAGCAGCAGGGCTGTTCCTAAACCATGCTGCTGAAAAGCACATACCACACCGTAATGCAGTCGCTATATATAGGCTGTAAAGAGCTTTTGGAAACCATGAGGAAAAGGGCTATTTGATGTACAATAAATTATTAATTGTTATTAGTTACTATCTTGACAGGTTTCTGTTACTCAGCTGTTTTCCATCCCAGTTTGGGAAGGAAGGGTGGCCTCTCTCCCTTCACCATTGTTTCTCCTCTTTTTCTCCTTGCTAAATTTGGGACTATATCTCTGCCTCTCTGCACTTAATGGATAGAAGACTGAGCAGATCTTTGTTCCTACAACCTCCTCCGGCTCCCTTCAGTGTAAAGGGAACAGAAGCAAAGCAGATTCTCAGAGCTCAACATTAGGAAACACTGAAGTCTGGATGCTGCCCACACATCCACTACAGAGATGCAAAGGCACCCCATAAGCTGACCCAAGTATCTTATATCTGACAACAGCACAGCAGTCCAGGCCATCCACTGACAGTACTTCATCTCTTCCTGAATTTATTATATGCCTGGAAAAGCATATCTTGCTTTACAGGTCTTGTTAGAACCCACATGCCTGTTGTATTGCAAGTAGCCTGTGCATACCGGGGCTTTTCCTTTACAGAAGAACTTGATACAGGCAATGAGGGGATGCAAGAGGTGAGCAGAAGCCAGGAGGTTTCACAGCATCTGCCAGGACCAAGCAGAGTACAGCTCAAGGACACTCATCCTTTCCTACTTGTGTAATGGGAACCTGGCAGCCTCTTGCCTGTTTTGATGCTACAGCTGTAACACCTACCTCCCCAGGAAATGCTCCAATAAAAAGTTAAAGTCCAGAGAACAAGGACCTTTACACAGCTCTGCCTAACAGACGCATGCCCTGCAGACCACAAACCACTTTTCAGGGCAGGGATGAAACCACTGTGAAGCAGGAACTGACGCTGTGTGGCTATGGGATGACCACAATTCTGCGCTGAGTTTACTCCACGTATGGCTCACAGGACTGCTCAGTGAGTGACTCCAGCCCCCAAAGAAAAACAAAAACAGAAGGGAGGGCTCACCTGTCCACAAAACAGCTAGAAAATCCTCTAAAACCTCTATACAAAACTAGAGGTTCCCCCACAAATCCAGAAAATTTAATTAACAGCAAAACCTCAAAAACTTCACAGGAGAAGCGAAGCACAGGGCAAGGCTCTGCAAGCAATGGGTTTGAAGTCACAAGCCATTCTGTCAGAGAAGAGACAGCAGCAATGCACAGGTTACCCTCAGCGTGTACAGCAGCTCCATCTAGCACATGCCCCAGTTCAGTGCATCTATTTGCTTGCCTCATCGTACCCAACGGTCACACCGTTCAATTCACAGGGAAGCAGGAAGCCTCCTGCCTTCACCACGCCATGAAAAATAAACCTCATTGCCAGCCATGAGTGCAGCTGAACTACTGTGAATATGATTTACCTGCCAAGGCTGATGAAGATAAACCAGCTTTGGTGCCATTTCAGAAAACCTGCCTGGGTGAGCCCGAGGGATGCTAGGCATGGACAAACATCTATTCCAGTTCGTATTTTGATGTGTGACTGTGCCCACACTTAGCTGTACTCACACAAAAGTGCTGAGGAATGCAGAGATGCACGTGCACATGACAATGTGTGAAACATTTTGCATGTCATGATGGATATTTAGCAATTAACACAGATAGGGCTCAGACAGACAGGGCTCATTTGTAAACAGAGAACCTGATTTGAACAATCGTTCCAAACTTCCAAAGCCAAGAAAAAAACAAGTGGAACAATCTTCATCCAACACTGGAATCACGAGGACTGATTGCAAGATAGGGACGGGGCATTCTTCATTGTAGAAGAAAGAGATGGGAAGGGAGCAGCAAAAATAGAAGGCAAACAGTTGTGTCTCTGTTCAAGAAAAACTGTAAGGAATATTTTCATTTTACTCTAGAGTCACCAGAGTGCGTGCACGTCTATGTGTACTCTACTTCTGTAGAGAGTGCAGCAGAGTGTAAAAGCAGAAATGCAGAAGTAGAAATGAAATAGATTTTTTTTTTTAAATAGCAAACTTAAAACACTGTAAAAGGTTAGAATGATTTAGAACATTCAGCCTGCACAGCCACGCTTGGCTGTTCTCGGTGTACGTGGGAGGTGACTCTGCACACAGGGCTCTTGCAGTGGCCAGAAAAACTTGCTGCTTGCAACCTCTTTCATTTTCCTGCTATCTCCATGAGAGGCTTCTGTGAGAGTTACCTGCTGGCTATATGAGGACAGGGCATAGAGCAGTTCATGCTTCTCTGTCATAGTAAAGGCAAGTAGCAGCATGGGCAGAATAGCTTCTCTCCTGTCTCCTGTGATGGGAGACGCATGCTGCCTGCTCTTCTTGTTTAATCTTCTGAAGATAGTTTGTGACCACATTAATGCCTTGTAAATTTGTCAGTACCTTTCTACAAGGCTGTGCTACTTATAATAAAAAACTACAGTAGCCTCCATAGACTTTGTCATTTTAATTATATCACTGCTGCCAAGCAGTAGGCATGCTCCTTGTCCCTGTTGGTCCAACACTGAGGTATTGATATCAGCAAAATTAATTGGTTACCACCCTTTTGTTACCTCAGAAGCAGCTATCAAAAAGGTGACACCATAGTGTCAACACTACTGATTGGCTGACACCGTGAAAATTAGTACCTGGGATATGGTCTGCTTTAGCAGGAGATAAACTAAATTGCAGATCATCTTCTTCAGCACTATCCTATATACTAAGATCACAGAGATTGGAAGCAGGCACTCAGTCACTCTAATTTGGAAACTGTGACAGAGGAAGTAAAAATAGTAAAAAAGAAAATAATAATCAGATATTCTAGTTTCTGGTTGGCTAGAGGCTACCTACCTCCACTAAATAGTCTCTTATCCTCCTGCATCAGCTACCTAACCTGGAGAAACAGGAGTCACTAAGAACACAAAAGGCAGTGGTAATTTTATCAGAAGTAGAACAACAAACCAGTACTAATGCAGGAAAAAAAATAAATAAAAAAATCAGGTCACATCTAATAACGACCAAATTCTTCATCAGTTTGTCAGCTCAGAAAATTCCACATTAAATAGAAAAAAAAAAAACCACTACAACAGATAACTGCACATGCACAAAGGGAATAAAGCAGCAGTGTCACAGTTGCGTGAAATGGGTGCAGGTTACCACTGTGTGCTGTCTATAAAGGGAGATAAAATATTACCTGAAAAAAGACAGAATAATTGTGAAAGTAGTTTAGATGAGCTCAACAAATGACAGACTGTGTACAGTAAAGAAACTCACTGAGCTTTCACTTAGCTCAAGCATGGCTTGGTGGTTTCAAAAGGGGCATAGGGATTAGCTAAGGAAAGCAGGGCTCAACTTGCATCCCCCCCTCTGGAGGGGCATATATTCTTTGGTTACTATAATACAGAGACAATCAGGATTTTTTTTTGTATTGTTATCCAAGTTGACAGGTATAAATGACTGTGAAAAACAGTCCACTCAGGCGTATCTGGAAGACTCCAGTTCAAGCTATCAGTCAGCGATTTTAGAGGTACAATGTCCACGTGTTTTGAAATTGAGGAAGGGAGCAAGGAAACATCTAACAACTTGAATACAACTGGAAACAATCTCTTTTATGAAAATACAACCTTCACCAACTCTCCACTAAGCAAAGATGAGCTGATAGTGAGCTGCAAGAGGGAAAACAAGAGGAGCATGAGGCTTTGCAGGAACAGTAGCAAACAGTTTACTATGGTTCAGCTCACAATAATCAGCACCACTTGCTGGGATTGTTGAAAAAAATAAACATCTTCCACAACACCCTCTGTTATCAATAATATTGAAGACAGTTTCATGTCAGTGCTGCTCACCTATCTACGAAAGAATGACAGTGGAAACATGTTTTACTGTTCCCTGGTTCATGCTGTGTGAATGCAAGTACCTTGTGATTTAGGGGTCAGATGATTACCAAAAAACGTAATCATTTAACCAAAGCCTACTCTGCCTGTCAATCCAGGCTCTAGCCACGTTCAAGCAGCAGGGCCACATTCTGCTGCACCTCTCTTTTATAGTGCAAGTCCTGGAGGAGAACTGAAGCTGGAATTCATTAAAAAATAAAAAAACCACGCATCACATCTTAATGCTTTGTATTTCTGAATCCTCCCTTATAGCCTCTGAAAAAGTGACAGGCAAAATCTTCTCTACACTGCAGGTAATATAGAGAACCTACACATATGGTGAGTCAGAACATTCAGGGTAGAACAGTGAATTTCCATTCACATCTCAATTTTTAATTGTGTCTAAGTTTCTCAATAAACATCTTCCTGAAATGCAGCATGACTAGATCAGTTGTCAGAAGAAAATGCTTCTAAGGGAAAATTACATGTCATTTGGAAAACCTTTTTACAACTCTTGTAAAAAGTAAAAGTATTTTTCTAGTTTCTTTTAAAATCTTCAAATGTCTCCCACAGAACAGAAGAAAACAAACTATGTCACCTAAGTCTATAAACTCCACATTTGTTTTGCTTTCCCTCAAGGAAGATCTTTATGCAAAATTCATCCTGAAAGGACAGCAAAGCACTTTCCACATTAAGAAAATGGGCACCGTATTGATGTAATTACATTGATGTAGACAGTGCTCCAGTTCACTTTGGAACGGTGGAAGCTCTCCAGCAGATTTACAGGCTCACTGGAGGCCACGTGGAATACGTAACTTTGAAAATCTCACTAATTAGTACAACAGGAATTTTAACTCACCTTATTTTTCTTGTGCTTGTCAGACAATATTCCAGGGCTATAGGTGGAAATGAAGAATTTCTTGCTCAATTCCTGGGCAATAGCTACTTCTGTAGTTGGTTGTTGTTTTTGTTTGTTTGTTTGTTTTTCCAACCCAGAGGGAAGGCAAGGAGAAAGAAAGATTTGAGAGAATTTATGGTAGCATCAGAGTCAGATTCAAATCACTTGATGTCATTAGAAGCAGAGCAGTCCGTTGCTGTTCTTCTCCTCTTTATACTGCCCCTGCAATCCTGCAAAATAAAGTGAGATTACATCTCCGGAAGGCTCTTCTTCCCTCCTTTTCTGTGCTTGTCAACCCACCCGATCATTCTACATAGCTGTTGAGGAGATGTCACCTTGTGTAGTATCCACGGGGTCTTTGACAATCCAAAACAACAATAAAGATAGTGGGGAAAAAAAAAACATCCAAGAGGCAGATAAAGACATGGTGAAGCCAACAGATAAACAACAAAAGGGAAGCAATTGGACTAGAGCGCTTGCTGTTGTTTGTGTGCTCTGTAAATATCATAATGATGAAGAGGAGGCAATAAACTGCTTTTAAGCTCTTTGTGATCTTTATTTCTGTATTCTCTGTCACCCTGGAAATGAACTGTGTGCATTGGAGTTCCTCTCTCTCCCTTTTTGCCCCATTCTTTTCCTTTTTCCCCAGGATTTAACAGAAGTTGTAACCTTTGTGCTTTTCATTGTGCAGTCAGGAAATAAAATTCCACTCAGTTAAGCCGCATTTGTAAATAGAAATGCAGCCATCAGCTCAGATATTTCAAGACAGATGCCCTCTAAACAGTACTATGAGTTGAGGAACTGCTTCACTGTCCTTTACCTGCTCTGGCAGGTAGGACAAAGCAGTAACCTGTAGCTACCACAGTTTGTCAGGAAACAAACAAAAAGCCCATTTCTCTCATATTTAGAGGGAATTCCTCAGCTTAGTGGGATGGACACAAGTCTACTTCTGACTATACAGTTTTACTGCAGCATCTTGAGCACAGAGCAGAGATAAGAGATGTCAACTGCATTAGATTCTTACCACTACATATTAAAGAAGCTTCTGTCTTGAAGAACAGACTGGAAACCACAGGGGAGGAACACCTGCAGATTTTAGGAAGGTTGATGTGTACAGGGACTTCTGGGCTGATCAAGGAAATGCCCATAATTCAAACTCTCTAGCACAATTAAAAGCTTTTTAAAACTCCAGAAGTGCCAGTTGTAAAGAGAATCACTTCTGAGTGAAAGTTCTGAGCCTGTGTGGAGAGGAATTTGTGCAAAGATTAGAAAAGTTCACTGGAGAAAAGCTTTAAATTCACTATTTGGCAAACAGTAGAGGAGTTCTTAGAGTTCTTACATCTCCACCGTAAATCCTTTCAGATGAGTGGTTAATAAATATACCAAAAGAGACAGGAAGGCAAGTCCCCTGTCCCCTGAGGTCAGCTATCCCATGATTACTGATATTCTTCAACAAGAAAAGAATGTTTCAGCATCATTTCCAATGCTTTGACCTGGCTCTGAGAACCTGGGACTCCTCGGCTCCCTGAAGAAGATCTGGCACTTAATGGATCTCTCACATGGACACAGGGCTTCCTTTTGCACTAAACCTCTAACCTAGAGACAACTGTGCTACCTGGCTTGAGTGATATCCACCATTTGAGCATTCCTGACTTAGAAGATGTTTCTCTGTCGAGTAGATTCAGTGCTGGTACAGTGAGAGAAGTACAATTTCTGGGCAGTTTCAGCCCAGCCATACATCTTATGTCACAGATCAAGCCAAATTGGTAATAAATCTCTTAAACTCTGTACGACATGATGCCAGATTCAGCCCTTAGAAAAGGAAGTACAATTCCATTGACTGCCAATGCTTGTTTGCATGAGATTTTATCTCTTTCCTTCTCAATATCCCCAATACCAATGCTCTGTCTGCTTTAACTGCCTCTGAAGTCAATGGTGCTCTGAAAAAAGAGGACATCTGGCTGGAGATGACCAGGAAATGCTATCCAGATAGTATTTTTTTTTTTAGATTGCCAAAATTTTTTCACTCCACACCATGTATAATACAGCCAGAGGCAGGGTAGGCCCAGGAAACATCATGGTGACTGTAATTATTCTTAGTGCTTTCTGCCAGTAACTCCATGGTCAAATTCTGACTGCTTGGCTTGTCTTAGAGCTTCCATGGAGCATTGCGAGTGTCCTCACAGAAATAATGCAGCCCTTCCAGCCCTGAAGGTGTGGATGCTCCCTGCCCTGTATTTCTCACTTAGAACCCACATACATAAGCTGCGTACCAGAAAGCAACAGATTGCCCTCATCAGCACACTCATTCCACATCACCACCAAAGCTCTCTCACGTACACTCTCTAACTAAACCTGCTTGGTCCACAAAGACCATGTAGATGTGGCCAGTGGCAGGGCTGGTAGAGTGAAGCTGAGCAGATGCTCACAGTGAGCATTATGACTTTTACATAAACTGGAGAGCTGTCCAATTCCAGAGCTGCAAGAGCCAGCCAGGGCAGATACCTTAGTATAAATCCCCCACCAAGAGTATGTAAGCCTGCTTAGCTTCTGAGTCAGTCAGTAATGAGTCATTGCCCACTAGGGGGAAAAAAAAAAAAAAAAAAAAACAAGACCTGTCAAAGTTGTTTTTCCAAAAACAAGAAAGAATGATTCAAGCATAACAAATAGGTAGGCATTCAGCTGGATTGGGGAGGTCCTTGTTCCTGCATTTCCCAATTTCACATCCCAAGTGAATGCTCAAGCAGGCCTACGCAACTAACTTTTCTCTCCGCTTCATTATGGGGACAGCTAATACAAAGTAGAATAGCTCCCTCAAGCAGCACTAAGGAAAAGCTTCAGTTGGAGATAAAGAACATAGTTTTTGGGAACAGAGGCAGATGGGGTTTTCTATGCATCTTCCAGCTTCCTTGGTAAAACACTTGGCCACCATGCTTTTTGGTACTCAGGTCCAGCTGGCGTATTTCATCACAGATTCCAACCTGACACAAAAAGCTCCTTCCAGCTACAACTTCAACTAAAATTAGCCAGTTCATTCCTGTGTATCAACAACAACAACAACAAAAATCTGACAAGACTGTCAGAAAAATCTCCCCATTGAGTTTCTGTGAAAGATGCTTCAAGAAATAACATTGATACAAAAATACGAATACCAGATATTCAGGCTACAGGTCAGCAAGAGTTAGATACAGAAGAGTCTGACCTTGTTTCTCAATCTCCATATGCCATACTCATTTGCTATGGAGGCATTCAAACAAGCCAACAGTTGTTCCTTTTCATTTAATCTTTTTGCCAAATAATAAATCTTTCAGACAGCTCCACTGGAATTATTCATATACACAATCGGCTACTGGAATATGTTGCTTTACCAGTTGTTCTTCAGATTCCTAGGGCATTAGGCACTCCTTCAAAGTGCCCGTAAGAGATAGAGCCTGTTCTCTTTACTGGTTTAAGAAGGCAAAAACCTAATTTTTAACTTCAAAGGAGAACACAAAGATGTTGATATGCACAATGGAAAAGAGAACTGTTTACTATTGTACAAGTCATTAAAATAATAGCTCTTTTTCCCCTCCCCCTTTTGTAAGTCAAATGTTTTAGAAATCAATTATGAAATAGATATCAGAGTTTAAAAAAAAAATAAAAAATAGTGCATTGATGGGAGGGCCAAATAAACAAAAAAAAATGCTGAGGATTCTGAAGTTTGACAATCAACAGAAACCTGACAGAAGTAAACCTGGATTGTGCTCTAGGTGCAAGAAATACCATTTGTAGCAAGTGTGACTACCGTAAGTGTAGGCAGCTTCAACACCCAGCATATATGGGTGAAACAGAGACATCTACACTCCTGAAGTCATGAGAAAACATAGCTGGAAAGCATTCCAAAATATATAAGCCTTTTCCTTGCTCTAACCAGTCACAATGGATATTTACCCAACTTTTATTTGTTGCTGTTAAGAAACTTTCAGAAGCTGAGATCCACTTCCCGTCTCAAGCAACCCACTCTAGTGCTTAACTATTCTTACTGCTGGAAAGATTTTCCTGATGTTTAATCTAGATTTTGCCACAATTTAAGCCCATTACTTCCCATTCTATCCCCAGTGGACTTAGATAGCAGTCTATTATCTCCTCAGACACAGGTCTAACAGCAAATTCACTTCCCTCACTGTCAGGCCTGGGCCTTAATTACAAGATGATTTCAACTCTCACAGCTCGTGTTTGTATATACACCATGCATATTTATGGCACATACCAAAGATGACTGCTTTGAATGGATTGCTGTGAGGATCTTGTGGTAGAGAAAACAAATTGCCATTGCTGGCATTAAAGAACAAGAAGCATTTTTCACACACGCTCATAAATACATATTCCACACACACATTTATACACTTTTCCTATTAATAGCTGTGTTGTGTACACAGTCTGACAGATCTGAGGGCAACCCAATGCTGCCATCACCACACTCAGTCCATATCTGAATGCAAGCACCCAAGCATGCACAGAAACACAAAGGTATACGAATGCTTATGGATCTGTGGCACAGACTCGCAGATGGTATAAATCAGTGTCACTCCTACTCAGCCTAACTCCTATTCAAGTTGGCCATAAGGTAAGAACAGACAAAGACGCAGCTCCCTATGTCTGTACAGCCATATGGGCAGCATACCCAGGCAAGTGTGCGTTGCACACCTTCCTGGCCTGATAGATGCTGCAGTACAGCTGCCAGCCTGGCCACCAAGAGTACAGGCTTCAGTACCAAAGCTCCTGTCGGTGGAAAATTCTGGCTTAGGCACAAGAGGAAATACTGTGAGCAGCACAGCATAGTACAGCAGAACACTGTTGAACCAATTAGGGTTAACACATTTCTGGTTAATGAGAGGTGCCGGTCATGATTGTAAATTAATATTTTCCAGTGGCTACCCATGCACTCAAGTGTCAGTATTGATCAAACTTACCTCTGCCCAGTTAATGCTGATGGATTCAACAGCAACATACGCCTGCTCATCTGTTACCCAATTAAGAAAAGCCCTTGACTCATCCTAATAGCTGTATTTATTGTCATCAGATATATTGATATATCTCCGTGCCAACTGCAAGCCAACATACACATGCAAGCACATGCAAAGGATGTGAAGTTGCCCTGGGAATTCTCCCAGCTCAAATTGCATTGAAAAAGCACTTTGTCAGCCTCCATGCTATTTTGTCCAGATGGACAATATTTTCCGTGGGGAAA